CGGGAACCGTGGTCTTATTTGCATCCCACCTCGGGCCATAGGTGCGGTGATCATCTTTGAGGACAGAGGGACAACAGACAAAAGTAATCGCAAAACAAGAAATGCAGTGCACTGGCAGGATGAGAAGCACATGCAACCTCCAGGAATTAGGGGGAGGGGGAGCATGAAGGGAAGGTTAGTGAGCTTTTCTCTAAAGGTTAACCTAGCATGCTAGCTTATAAATCAAACTTTTTATATCCTTTCTATGCATTTTTAGAAAGCATCTAATGAATTCTAGGTATCCTGAGAGAGCTGATATGTAGATTCAGATTAATAGGTCAAGGGTTGACCATGCTATCATTTGCATGAAGGGCTTTTCCTAAGTTTTGCCTGACATCTTGAATTTCTAGAATTCTTGGAAATAAGTACTCTAAGATTTTTGTCAAGAACGCTCCATATAAGAAGCTATATAACGCCATAGGTTTCTGATGTGCTTTACCCCACTGTGGATTCAAAGGATTTAGCAGTATTTGCATATGCCACCCTTAATTATAAAAGATTTTGGCAGACAGTTCAACAGCATCTGTCAGTAGAAATGCTCCACAGTGAGCAAAATTTCAGACCAACCTAACCTATGACAGTATAACAGTGCCAAAGACAACAAAAAGGACTCCTGGGTTTGAAAAAGCTATTTCCTTCCTTTTATAACCCACAGAATAAGTTAAATATATCCTTGTAATTTCCATCATTTTGACAAATACCCATTCCTCTACAACTAAGCTGTGTTAAAATATTCTGAGTCCACAATCTGCCTCAAGCTTATTCATGCACTATTTGATTCTCCAGATGTATAGACTGAGCACACCCTAAAAGTGCAATCATTTAGGACAAATGATGAAGGTTAGCATTAGAATTTGTATTTTAAAATAGTCTTAGGACTATGCTACTCTGCAGTGTTTAGAAGTGCCTTTCAGAACCATCAGCCTGCACGAGCCACACAGATTTAATCAGATATATCTGTATAGCCCTCTGTTACTTAAAACTTGATATTACACCATATATGCTGAGAATTTACAGCAAATACAGCATATTTTTGAGGTAGCACTCCGGTAACTTTGGCAGATTCACTTATCAGTAAAAGAGCTTCTGTTTGGTACTTCAATGATCTACAGTAAAGTTCTCTGGGCTACTTTTTTTTCCAGCATACATACTACCAAGGAACCTACACAGGCCCTAACTAACCTACGAGTTAATGAAGTCTCCTTTCAGTAAATGGTTTGGGGCATTCTTGCTTAGTGTTCTATGTAAATGGACTGAAGCAGCCAGCAACATGTCTCTAGAGAGTCAGAGAATGCATGTGCTTACAATTGTTAAAAATAAATAAAATTAAATACAACATAGCAAGACTGAAAAAGGAAAGCAATAACTGATAAAGAAAATAGTGTCAAATTCAGCACAGCTGTTAGTTCACAACATCAGAGCAATGCAGTCCCTCTCCATCCAGGCAAAGAGGGATGGTCAGAGACAGGATTTCAAAAGGGAAACAAATGAGAGCGCTTCAGACATCACACACACATGCACATGTACACACACAGCATGCAACAGCCACCACAAGCAAACACAACCCAGCACTGGCACAAAGCACAGGTGGATGCTACAAAGTGCAGTGAAGAGCTACAGTATCAACATGAGAGCTGGTGAAGCAACACAACCCTAACAAAAAAACAAAAAAAAAAAAGGGAAATTGCTAGGAAAAAAACAAACAAACAAACATACATATCCTTCCAGGCACAATCACCCCATCTTAGACCCTCGTGAATGCACATGGATCTCTGGAGTGTGTGAAATCCCAGGGATGTTATGGTGACCCGCATGTCCCATCTTGGTCCTGTTTCTCATGCCACACCACCAAAGTGTGAAGATTTAGATTACTTCCTCCAAGGTCAAGGAAATTAGAAGCATATTCACAGTTTAAGTGTCTGGCAAACCATTGAATATCAGCATGACAAACTCCAATTCAAAGGCTTTCAGCTGTTTGTTATATTGTGGTTGGTCAAACATTTATGCACATGCATGCAATTTTGGTTTTGGTTTTTTGTATTTTTTGTTTTTTGAAATGTGTGCTTTGGAAAGAAGTGTATATATAAAATGACACCAATTCCACTCTCTTAACAGAAGTAATCTATTTTTCCCATTCTCCAGCTGATTTACGTTTGTGAAACCTGTGACCCTTTGACAAAGGAGTCAGGAAAGGGGGGTTTCCAAAGATTGCATCTGTTTTATGCAAAGCAATATATCCATGAAGGAGTTGTTCTTGTCAGTCTAAAAACAGAAGACAACCAGAAGTGTTCAATTACTTTTGAAAAAGTTTTAAACTGAAGGCAAATCCTCCTCCACGAGTGAAATTGATTTATCTCAGTTTGCAGAACTGAGAATTTTACCCCATAAAAACAGAGAGCAAGCAGAGGAAGAGAGTCTCCCTCCACTGTAAGATACAAAACCTATTAGTTAATAAAAATGAAGTGGAATGTAACAATTAGAATCCTGAACCTGTAATTTTCTTTCATCTAAAATCCAAAGATGCAGAATTCCATAAATATGCAACTTCTGGTGAGTACATGTAAGTACTGTGCCACTGTCACTCCACTAAAGGCAGCTCTGATTTTCAAAGAGCAACAGCCAATCTGCATTCTGAGCACCTGAAGGAGTTGCACCAGAACAGTGATTTAAACTTTATTAATACTTAACTCCAGTTGATTACAGATTTTCTCTTGGTGCTGCAAGCACTTGTGTAGCACTCTGTGGTCACTAGGACTCTACTTCATTTATTTATCAGCTTCACCTGTGAGTTACATGCTCACAAGGACTAGACACCCAAGCAGGGTAACACTGACCTGCATGGTGTCTTTACGACTTCAGAGAAGAACTTCAAAATTCACATGGATCCATGTTTAAACCTGGGATTGCTTTTACTTTTATGTAGGAAGGATGAACAGAAACTTTACGGAAAGGAAAAACGCAGCCATATCAACCAAAATTCCCAGTCTGAAAGCCCCTAGAGGCTAAGTTTAAATGTAACAAGCGAAGATTAGGATAGGGTTTGTTTATAACAAAAGCTTCCCTGAACCAAATGAAGAAATCAAGGCAGATTTAATAAAAATGCTAGTGCTAGTGAAAAATGTACTAAATACAAAGCAAAATCTACTCTTAAAAGAAACTTCTCATAAATTAAAGAAAATCCATATACACTCTCAACACCGAAGCTGCATTGTAACATTGTACACAGCCACAATCTTAAAACTAAATATTACATACAGAAAATATTTACACAAGTACAAGAAACCTGTTTAATTATTGGACTTCACAGCATTAAGTGAATTTTAGTAGACTCATATTGCAATGGCATGAACAGAAATGGAGTAAAGCCTGTATGTGAATTTTCTAAACTCCATCCGTGATAGATAATGAGCAATCCCTGAGTTTACTACGTCTGAATAAAGCTGCAATACAAAACCCGCTGTGAACCATCTTATCACCCCGAACTTTTCAAATGCACCGTGCTGTTAAGCCACTGGCATATAAATTCACTAAACGGGGCAAGAATTAAGTTGACTGTACATAAGCACAATCCATCTGCTTAGGAGTTGAAAAGAGCACCATTAAGTTAGTAAAAAGAAAAAAAAGTCAGAGTCTCCTTCCAGTCAGCCTAAGTCCCTGCAGCTTCCACCTGGAAATTATTTAAGAAACAAACAGAAGTTTTAATTCACATTTCAACTGTAGAAAGAATTCTGCATTGCTGCCAGTACTGTACCAACTGTACTTACCACTGCTCAGCTTTTACATCCTGTGTTACGTTGACACAAGCAAAAGGACCAATACAGAAACAGAACTTAGCCACCAACAAGGATGTGGGCCACATGAGAGTTATGATGGTACAAGACACTATTCCTGATACAAGTCTGGGAGATGTATGCTGAAGAACCAATTGTTATCACAGTCCATGTAAAAAGCTTCCAAATGTCTTATTGAATCTGTAATATTACTTGTGCCCTGAAGGGAAAATGGCGCATGCAGACATGGAACGTCTGGGTATATGAAAAGAACTCTGCCGTTAATCCTAGTCAACCTCATTTCATCTGTCTGCCTCAGTCTCTTCATCTACAAAGTGGTGATGATTGTACTTACCCATATCTGTAAAATGCCTCAATATGAAACACTACAGAGGTAAGCCACGAAAGACTATTTCATATTCTGGTGGAAAATGGGATGAGAGGTTCAGCTCAAGCCATTCCCAATTTTTTTCCCCATGTCTCCTTCATACCAGACACACATCAAGGAACAATCACTGGGGCTACAAGTGTATTGCGGGATAAGAAAACTGTGTTAGACAATAAGCTTTCACCCAGCACTTTTTTTTTTTTTAAATGTAACTCTGCACTTGTGACACATGCCATTTTTTCTTCACAACTCACATCCAGAACAAGAGCATAGCTACTGCCCATTTCACTCAGAAAAAGAATGAAAGATGAAAGGAATGAAAGGGGAGTGCAGAGAGATTTCATTGTCTATATTATTTTTTATGGTTGATACATGGAGATGGAAGGTAAATCACATGTGAGTTAAGATAGCAGGCAAAGATTCACAGTACAGAAATCAGTTTACACAACAAAGCAGTCACCCAAGAAAGTTTAACGAAAGAAGAGGTGATACACTCCAGGTACCAACAGTCAGACTTGTAGCGTGACCACAGTAGGCCATCTTATTGATGTGCATTCCTGCATCAGTACAGACAACAATCTTACCTACTCAGGACAGAGAGCATGCACAGAGAGGTTGTCAACGAAATCCTGCCTCTGACTCCAGGCAAAGGAGAAACAGCATAAAAGCCCATATCCCATATAAAGGGATGACCAATGTCAGACCCCTCATCAGAAAGCCACCAGAAACCCATCTCCATGCTCATCTCTAGCATGCACTTGCTACAGGCCTATAACTAGTGATACTGGCTCCTGGGCCCTTACCTGCCCTGAAGCTCCCATCTGAGCAGCTTGGGCCTGAGCTGCTTGCACTGCTGCCGCTGCCTGCTGCTGCTGGACCAGCTGAGCTCTTACCTTCAGTATGAAAAGAAAGAATGAAGTAAACGTACAGATCTGATTAAGGTATGACACTTCTGTTTCAGCTATATTGACTATACTCATAAAAAAGGGTGTGGAGACAAGATCAGCCTCACATACATACTCTTCCTAGAGTTTTTGAGCTTTCTTTATGAAAACAAGATCCCATGTTTCTAACATTTAGAACAGTCTTCCCATAGACTGTGCACCCAAGATTCAATTTCTTCTTGCAACTTCTTCCCTGTACTATCAAGTCTTCCTATGACAATACTAGATACTTCAGCTTTCTGGCAAACATAGTTAACCACACATGTGTTGATTTCCCTCAAGCACACTGTGTTAAGCACCTACCAATGGCCAGCATTTCAAATGTTTATACATTCATTACGACTGTCAGTGTGATGTACATCTAACTACTCCTAGCTTAGCTGGTAGGAACACAAAGTGGATGTATCAACTCGTCCATGTGGGGTCAATAATTTCTCAAGTGTGGCTGACACTCCACTACTCCCCAGCAAGGCCCAAAGAAAAGCAGGTCTTGGGATTACGTCTGAGCTCAACAGCACGTATGAAGCCCAGAAAAAACTGACTGTAACGCAACAGTTCAAAAAGCTGCACCATTAAGAGGATGACCCAGCAAGAGGTTCAACAGAGTAAAACTACTGTCTTGTACACATTCTCTTCAAGGCAGGAACTACCAGTATCTTAAACTTAGACCAAAACCTCTAAACGTGGCAGCAGAAGCAAAGCCAGCATGCTAGAGAGCCAACACTGGCTCCAGTGACATGCACTAGGCACTTCAAAGCACTTGCTCATGTTCTAGAACAGCAAACATCGTGGAGGTGATTCTTCTTTAACCAGAGTTTGTTTCTTTTTTCTTTTACTTGTCCGTTCAAGAGTAAGACAAGAAATTATTTTTTAATATTAGCTGCATAAATGGTTTTCACAGATTTCCAGAAGTCCTACTCTTAGACACAAAACTGTTCTCTACTGGCAGGCCCAGACATAAACCTTTAAACTCTCCATATTCATAACATGCTAACTACAGATCTCTTAAAAAGCTATGTTTTTTCCGACTTCTTTATTAGCAAAAGTCAAAGAATTTTTTTTGTTTCTCTAGAGGATCATAATGAACCAACAATCAGCTGGTCACTAGCCCTTACCTGCATTGCTTTTAATTGCTGTGGTGTGAGTGTAACAGGCATAACCTGACTAGGAATTTGTCCTGAAATTGCCTGTGGCTGAGATACCATGGGCTGGGGTTGAGGCTGGGATTGTGGTGGAAGCTGAGACTGTTGTGCCTGAGCAACCTGTTGTTGTTGTTGCTGCTGCTGCTGCTGTTGCTGCTGTTGTTGCTGCTGCATCTGTTGCATCTGCTGTTGCATTACTTGTTGAGGTGGCTGCTGCTGTATCTGTTGTTGTGGTATTTGTTGCTGCTGTTGCTGCTGCTGCTGTTGCTGCTGCTGTTGTGCCTGCATAGCCTGTGCTGCCTGCAGCTGCTGCATTTGGGCAATTCGCTGTAGTTGCTGCTGCTGCTGTTGCTGCTGCATCTGAAAAGCAGGAAAAGCCAGGATGCTAAAGCTTCCAGCAATGCGATAGCAGCCTTATTTTTATAGCATAAACCAAGAGCAAACAGAATCCTAATACATCAGTCTGAGGTTTTAAGTCCAAAGCGAAAGCCCAACCTTTCTATCCACTCGCTCTTCATATATCTCAACTCTACATAGTGCACATCCCGTGGTTTCAATATTACAAGCTTGTCTCACTACTAAAACAGTTTTCAAAAGCAAAGATGAAGTCCATCAGCTTCTCCTGTAAAAATGGGCTCAGAAGCACTTCTTCAAATGTAACCAGCCTGCATCAGCACCACTATTTACCAGGAACTGCACAAGAGCATGACAGCTGAAGTTTCCTCTTCTGCTTTTGTGCCTAAGGATGATATATACATAATGTGTTCGGCACACATTTTTTTAAAGTGGCAACGTGTAATTCACACAATGACAAAACAGCCACTATTTCTAGAGTAGCACAAGTGCTTTTGGTTCTTTCCCACATCCCTGTTCTTGTCAGAATGAAAGACTATCCCGATGTTTATAAAGAGAAAGAGACAAAGGTTTTAATTCTCTATTGCTATGACAGAAGAAAGCAACCAAACGACTGTTAAGCCCTTCCTCTGGGATGCAATATATTGTTGCCAATTAACTTGCAAGTCTAAACTGAAGTCCTACCCCAAAATGGAAACGCGTTAATAACAGGCAAAGCTGATATTCAATACTTCCATGCAAGCCAAGCCTCACTTGACAAGTAGCTGAACACAGATCACCTCAATTGCCATTGTAATTGTTTGTCATCACCTGCTGTTGGTTTTGCTGCTGCTGCATCTGCAGTTTCAGCATGTGCTGTTGCTGCTGCTGGACGGCTTGCAACTGCTGTTGTTGCTGCTGCTGCTGCTGGGCTGCTGCAGCTGCTGCTGCCTGCTGCTGCTGGACCTGAAACTGTTGTTGCATGGCTGACTGCTGGGCCTGGAATTGCTGCTGCTGCAAAGCCACCTGCTGCTGCTGGAATTGCTGCTGCTGCTGCTGTTGCTGCTGAGCTATCTGCTGAAGCTGAAGTTGGGCTAAAAAGAAGGTAGACTGTACTTAAAACATGAGACCCAAACAGTGCGAGAGACAGTTACCCAGTATAACTCACAATAATTGAAGATAATCCCTAAAGTACATTAGTGTTCTTCGTTAGCAGCATATACTTTGCCTCCTCAAATGGACGAGGCACAGTAACAGCATAATTAGTGACACTTCCTACTACCAACTTCTAATTCTCACTGCCTATATTGAGTCAGCAACCTAGGTAAAGAATGTAAAAATGTGCAGGAGGAAATATGCACAGAGGTCACCAGCAGGAAGCACCGTACCCATAGAAAACATAGGTGAGCTCTACAAAAACAAAGTTCTGAAGTTGACATCTTGTAGGACAAAAGAAGCATTGCTCATACAACAGCTAGACTGTTCCTCGCTATACTAAGACATTTATCCCATTAGGTAGGAGTATTTGAAATCAATTCTTCCTGCAGTTCACTTGGCTGATTTAGCCAGAAGTATGAAATCTCTTCAGCACCCTTTCCCTGTGGAAAAGTTAGGTACTGAAAGGCTGATCTAACAATTACAGTGGCTGAAGCAAACTGAATACTTACTCTGCTGAGTAGCTGTAGAGACACCAGGCATACCATGAGGGGCCATTCCCGAGGTTCCAGGAGGCTGCTGCTGCCCTGGGAGACTCATCTGTTGTCCCATTGGGCCAAGGCCACTCATCCCACTCATCGGCGCACCCTGAGCTCGGGAAGCCATGCCCATTCCAGGTGCTCCTGCTGGGGGACCCCCAGTTAGATTCTGCAGGGCATTCATCGGATCTACAAAGAAAATAGTTACCAATATGCAGCCAGCCATGCAACTGCCTCCCCAAAATCCTGTTCCCCATCATCCACTCTCTGATCTGTCGGCTTCAGACCATGACTAGATCCAATACCCTGAGAATCTAACATTCACTGCTCTGCCTGCGAGACCACAAGAGGCTTCTGGCACGTCTTTGCCTCTCTCTAAATAGAGTAAAGATTATTTAAGCGCTTCAGATTTGCAAAGTTCCAAATAGATTCTAAATACATTAGAGAAAAGGAACTTATTAGCCACCTCTGAATTTATATGCAAGTCAAAACAAACTGCCAACAAAACTCCATGAGGATATCCAGCTTGTAACCTCAAAAACCAAGAGAGTCCCACTGTGGATCCAATTAGCCTCTTCCTCCTGAGGTCAACAAGGAGAAGCAGTGCTCAGACCAGAAGAAGTACTTTGGTATACAGTTCCCCCCATAACATCACGTTTATTATGCTGTGGATAAATTCAGTGCCTTTCAAGACAACTGTCATAATCTGAATCCTGGGCACACAGAAAAGTGAAGTCGAAGAGGGAATGGCAATTCAAGAGGGCAAAACACAACATTGGGTGCAGAAGCAACATTAATCAGGTACAGAACGCAACACCCCCTCTTTCTTAAGAATACTTATAAAAATAATTTCCAGCTGTCTAGGCTGGATGTTAATCAATCACAGACACTGCGTATTTAGCCTACAGGGGGATAAAAATAGAGGATCATACTATGTCCCTAACATACACTGCTGTAAGAATTAGCACAGAGGCAGAAGACATCATCAGATCTAACCTCAGTCAAATGGCAGAGTGCGTACGCCCCACAAACACAACGCTTGCCTCTGATGCAACACACTGAGGAACCCAAAGCCGGTAACAGGGAGAAACCTGGACTGCTCAGCAGGAGATTATTTTCAATCACTCTTGTTCTTTCTTGTTCTTTTCTTTGTACAAAAGTACAAACAGGGAAACAAACAAGTCTCCTGTGTTACATCCAAAACACTGTCCAAGCCTGTCACCCTCATCACTGAACTCCAAGACTATCATGCTACCTTTCCTTTCCAGCAGCATTTAATATTCCAGCTAGGGAATGCACAGCCTTCTTATTCTTAGTACACCATAGCCCCGATTTCTAAGCTGTTCTATTTAGAAACGGG